GAAAGTTTCTTGATGTTGCCTTGTTTGCCTTAGCTCCCAGATCCTGAAGTAAAATCTCTTGGATTGGTAATCTCTTGCCAAACCAGGTTCCTTTCCTCCAAATTAAAATTAATTCCTATTGGTTAATAGGAAAACTGTACCCAAGAGCCAAAATAAACAAGAAACATGAAGCTACTGGAAAAAAACATCCAACAGATTAATAAACAAAATCCTCAGTAGTACACTCATTTCTGGAGCTATCTCTGTGTTTAGTTATCTGTGCATTTTCTAGGTGGTAGATGTAATACCAGCTCAAATGTAAGCTAGCTTTGATGTTTAATAGTAGCTAAAGCTCTGCCTGAATTAAGAGTTTAAATACACAAGCACCATTGAGGCTTAATGGCACGTGCCCACAGCTGTACACACTGAGTCAGACTTTCATGCAAAAGATGTGCCCAAAAGCAAGCGTGCATGGATATAAATACTACGATACAGGTACCTATATGTAAACAAGGGTGGACTGAAAGTTCTGCTCGCCTATTTTAAAGTACTGCGTGTTTTAAGAACACTAACATTCAGTGTATTTTTTCATATGCATGAATATGATGTATTTAACTGTATCTCTAAATTTTGACGACAAAACCAAAACACCTGTTTTGTCACCAGAAGCCCCAAGATGGCAATACAGCCTTGTTTTTCTTAGCTGCTTATTTCTATTATTGTTATTGTCATTATTATTACACTGCAGTATATGGAACAGATTTGAGATTTTCTCCTCTGCTGACATCTAAGAGCCTTGCTGATTGCTAAGGATTATTTATACAAAAACAGAAAGCTCCAACTACTTCCACAGTAAGTGAAGGGATGAATAATATGAATAACCTGGAGGTATTAAAAGATTCCATTTAATAACATTAACCAAATAGACATCTCTGCCCAAATTTGGTTTTCTTTTATTGATGGAAGTGACTTAACAATGCTGTTAAAAGCTCTATGCTCGCATATTATTTTCAGCTTAGCCTGTAACATATTATACATGCACATGTATTATATTTTAAGGCATATATTGATTATCTACATGCTAATCATTTTTTGAACAAAAGCACACCAGGACTCTTCCAGCAGTCTTGTCCCTTCCAGTGTTCAGAGAGTTTCTATAGAGCTGAGCTAATCAGTCAAAATGCAGTCAACTTTTTTTTCCCCTCCCACAAAGAGCACTGAGAACAAGTGATAGCAAGCATCACTCACCTTGATGCTTGATAAGAGATACAGTGGGTTTATCAAATGTGCTACTGCCTATGACTGTTGCCCGGGTCTTTATAAAGTCATAGATTTCATAGCAAAGGAAGAAAAAAACAGGAAAAAGGCAGCTGATTTCAAGTGCGTTAGCTGGTACGTGCTGGGCCAGCGAGACATGCATGCGGCTGGCTATGCGATTGTAAAAGATCCAGATGCAGTGAATGAGTATGTTTGCAGTGAAGTCACCTGCTGTCCCTGCTCCAACCTTGTTGCAGTATTAACTAATTATTGTAGGCTTAACATAGGAGCCTGTGTAAAGCTGGATGGGAGGGAAGGCTTCTACTCAGAGATTGCAGGCTCACTTTATCCAGACTTGCACTGAGAGAAATCCATCCCCAAGAAGAAGTAATATTACTGAAAATTGTTTATAGAGTAGTGCAGTGGGGAAGATGTTGACAATATCAGTTAAGACTAACGCTGTCAAGACAACTAAAGAAGTAAGAGCTGCTTAACACTGAGTCAAAATTACTTAACGGTACATAAATATTTCAGACCTCTCCAGGGGCATTTTAGTGTTAGAAGATAATAAAGATATAGGCACAGATAATCTTAAAGGATCTGTGGTTCAGAAAATTTTCTGTCAAACTTTTTTTCATATACAGATGTTTGTACACATGTATATATATCCATGTAGTATATATACACATGTAGTGTATATATATGCAATGTGTGTATACATTTGAGTACGTATATACATATATTTAGAGAGAGAGTATACTGCTTGAGAACAATGTAACACTACAGAAAGACTATTTATGCAAACAAGCCCAGACTGTGATCACAATGTTTTGCAGCCCTCTGGGGACAAGGAAGGCACTGATTATCATGCCACCAGTTAGGTCCAAGATTCAGCACTTTCTGCTGTAACAACTGGTTGAAATCATAGATAAGGAAAAGGATCACAAAGTTAATTTTAGAAAACCATAGTAGTGGGAGATTGGAGTCATAATTCATTGAATAAAATCAATTTCCTATGAAAAAGAAACAAAAGGCCAATGACAAAGTACTCACTGCACTATCCCTTCTGCATTTACTTACCCATCTTCTCTAATTAGCTTTGCTACTTTGATAGAAATTTCTAAGTAGTAGCATTCAGATAAGAAATCAGATGGGAAGGACTACAACATATTGCTCTCAGATATAAAGAGTCCCTCATTTCAGTTTATCCTCTATTAGAAGAATCTTGGTCAGCGCATGTCTGTGAGGATGACTAAAGGATTAACTGAGGCACCTCACATTTCTGCTAGGAAAGAAAAATTATGCTTTAGGAGAAAGAAGATTTTCTTGTGGCTATGTAGAATAAACATTTTGAAACTAAACTAACCAAAAACACAGGGAACCATAAATTAAGTTGTTTGCATTTCAGATTAGTTAAACAAAGTAAGAAGAATAAAGGTCCTTCTGTGACCTGCCATAAAAGTCAGAGAAAAGGCTGCATCCACACTATACCTAGAGGCAAACTAATGCTGTTGCCAGATTTGGCTGAGTAGTCAAGAAGTGAGTGGGGAGAAAAGACTGAATTACCCTCTCACACCTGGAGGATTGCTAGCTAATTCCCTTCTAACTGAGCTTCTGAACTACATCTGAAAGGCCAGGATGGGGTGAGCTCGTACTGCCAGTTGATATTCTGTATGTGTCGTGCATTTCCATGCAGGCTGTGAGTTCGCGGTACCATCAGTATCGCAGCTTTTAGAGCACTGAACTTATCTAAAAACTAAAGGTAGCTTTGTTGCTTAAGCATCCCATTTTATGATGGTTAGTTGCCAAATCCTCCCCTACACAACCCAAACATAGATGGTGCATCAAAAAGATTGTTTTATTTTGCATAAGCTGGTCTTTGAGCGGGGGGTCATGGGGAAAAGGAAGGGCAGGAGTAAATCCACTTGAGTTCACATGCATCTCTGACAAGTAGGCAAAAGGCTGAAGGGTGAAACAAATTCTTTGTGCAGTAAATGGGGATTTAGAGGGATTAGAGTCACATGTTTGGGAACTGGAAATGTATTTGTTTTGTATTATTACCACCATTTTTATGGATTAATTAACAGAGTGGTGATGCGAGGAATTGCTGTTGGTTTAATACATAAATACATTAGATAAAGCTAGCTCTGTTTTGGGAGTGATGGGCAAAAAGAGGTCGGATTTACATCCATGTATAGGTGACTCTGGGTGGGTTGAATACAGCAGCATGGCTCAGCACGACTGATGGGCAGATGGTGGCCAAGTCATTAATGCAGTGCTGCGAGAGATGCACAGAGAAAAATACTGGCGGATTTATGTCCTTTATAACGCTATAATAGACAATAAGACCGCTTTCGGTGAGTGTGAGGAGTTTTGCCTTTAGTGCTGCTTGTGGTACTCCATATTTAGTATTTCTAGCCCTGTGAAATAAATACCTGCAGTTTCACATATGATTCATATACTTGTAAAGTAGACCCTGACCACTGTATACCCAGAAGTCTGATCACTTGTAAGACATTAATACATGAGCAGCTTGAACACTCTTCAGTTGGTGGTGATCTCATGAGAGAAATTTTTAGTAGACTTGTGTATAAGTGTGAATGTGTGTACCCAGGCACAATACAGTAGACGTATAAGAGAACAGTATCATACAAAACAAAAACAGTATAGGATATCCATTATCAAGACCAAGTTATATGTTGCAAAACAGAACAAACAGCCATTAACTTGTGAAGGACCTTGCAATTTTTGCCCTGTTCATGCTTAGCCAAAGTTGGTGCAAGCCCATCTCTGTGAGCTGGGGATCGCCAGTGAAATCCCCCCCGAGGGTTACTGCGCAGGCACACAAATGCATGAGAACGCGAACTGCACAATACAGTAGGAAAAAAAGAAAATAAGTACAGCTTTGGAATCCTTTTACATGTTCTAACTTCTTATGTGTTAGACTCTGTTACATCAAAGGTGCAGAAATGCTCATTCCTGGACTTTGCAAACCATTTTCTTAGAATTCCGACATGTTAACATTAATTAATTGCATTTTTCTTCCATGGTGCCAGGGGAAACATGGCTTTTGTTAAAATTATTGGAAAAATAGGATGTAGGAAGCAGATATAGCGGGATAGGAGGCATATGTGGGTAGGCTACGTCCACCATACATAGTACTGATTAAATTGGTACAAAAATGATGACAATTAGCAACCATTATCTTTTCCCAACAACGCAATGTTATGTTGTACAGTAGCAGCAGCTGTTATTTTGTATTACGTTCTGCAGGCAAGGTACAATGTATTCCACCCTGAGAAACATTACAAGGAATGGACTGCAAATTCAGAAACATATGCTTTAAAAAAAAAACAAAACTGCTTTTCTACCCTTGAAACAGCCTGACCAGCTTGCAACAGCTTGATCATTTGCCTTCTGAATCTAAAAGAGGGACCTGGCTGTTTAAGGAAGTAATCCTTCCTCCTCCCTCTCGTTTATAACTCCACATTTAAATATATCAAATTCAGTGTGACTATCAGTGTTGAGCCCTTATCTAAAACTATAGACAGTGATCTTTCAGGCAAAGGGGGCTTAAAATAAATTGTGCTGATGAGGAAAATAATGAATAATTTACATTTGCTTTAAATGAAAAAATAGTATGTTAAAGTTGAAAATATCACGTATTAACGTGTCTTCTACTAGAATGAATTTAGAAACCTCCCACAATCAGAAAAAAGGGAAGATGACCTACTGCAATATGCATGGACATTTTTCAGGTTTACCTGCTTGTGAGCGTGGTCATAAGAATTGATGTGGTTGTCAAATTCCTGGTGCTTGTGGTACTGCTTGTCGCATAGTTCACAGTAGAAGTTAGCCTTCACATCCTCCAGAGCCTTTGCTGCGGCTTTCTCCTTCTCAGCATAGTCCTGCAAAGGCACAAGCAAAGGGATGTACTTTGATACGGATCCAGAGTTTGCGCTTTGTTAGCTTTTTGGTCATCCATATTAAAAATTCTAGATTGAACAGCACAAACAAAACTGCTAATTCACTGGTCTCCATCCTAATATCAAAATACACTCTGAGGAGGTTTTGGTCTTCAGTTAGATTTGATAAAACATTTCTCTTTCTTGGGTAATTATTCTTACTACTTGTCTGAGGTACTGTACGAAGCAAAGCAGAGAGGGATGAGGCCCAGAGGAATACCAACACTACACCAAGCAGCTCCCTAGCTGGGAGACTTGAATGGTTAAGAATAGATAAATCACCAGGTGGGCACACACCGGGTTAGCCTATCAGTCCTTCCAGTACGTTCAGTTTATGCTCTGCTGTGTCTGCTCTTTCAGTTGCCATTGCTTGGAAGAAAGAAACTGTAGTTATATAGATATTAAGACGGATTTTCTTTTGTTTTCCGCTTTCTGTGCCGTATGAAATATTCAGCAGGGCCAGATCGCAGCTGGATGTGGCTGGCAGGGGTTTCCCGTGTGGCACGGCAGCCTCAGCACGAGCACTTCCAGGGCCGCCCTGTCCCTTCCCCAGGGCCGGCACGAGGGGACACGCCAGCCAACTCACACCACACTCCTGCGAGAGTTAAGTACCTCGCCGCCCTGTGCAGACCATAACGTCTCCTGTAGGCTAGTACAACTCTCGCAGTGCTCTAGTAGAGGGAGAAAAGGTCCAGTCTCAGGAAAACACAGCTGAAAATAGGGAAAACATAACTGGTTTCTCAGTATTTCCCCTCCGTCTCTCCCTAATGCCCCAGGCAGTTCTACAGGAGAGTCCAGTGCTTTGTTTTCTATACATAGCAGGTACACAGAGAAAGCCTAAAGCGTAGGAGCCAAAACTTATTAACTCCACTGCACCTAAATGAGGGGCCTGATACTCAAAATTGTCAGTAGCCTTTAACAATTTTATTTCTTATAAAATCTCTTCTTTACATTATTGTTTATTATTATTAAACTTTCTTAAATGTTTTACACTGATACTTAAAAAGCAGACTTCTACCATAGAAAACGTGAACCAAAAAGTTGATAAAAGCAATTCATTTTATATTCATGTTGACAACTTGATATTACTGCAATATATGTCATCTATTGCCAGGGACTGCAGTAATTCATCATGAGCTGTATCACTTTACTTGCTTAAAGAAGGGATATTTTTCCCACCAGACTTCCCATGCTGTGCAGCTAGTGCTGTCTGGTATCCACCTGATTGTGTGGATACTCCGGCGTGTCACACATTCAGAGCACTCCCATGCCAAGCCTTGGCTTGCTCAGCTATGGCGCAACAAGACATCGCGTGGCTGGGACACCCCAGTGCCACCTAGGTCGTGCTGCCCAGCCATCCTCCAGGGACCAGGCAGTGGCTGTAGCAAAGATCATAGGGCAGACCTTTCCAAAGGGGAAGTCCAAGGACTTTCTTAACAAACGTCACAAGCTTAAAGTCTGAGACTTGGCCATGCAAAAGGGAGTGTTGGCTGCTAATGTGACACACGAGAACGCACAACCCTTTGGCCTAAGTCCTTCATGCCTGCCCTGGTCTTGACGCTGTCAAGCTGATGTCGTTAGGTTTTTCTCAGACAGTAGTTTAGAGGGTGGCATTTCCAGTGACATTAACTTCACCAAAACTAAACTGTCTAGGAGTTAGGTGTATGGTTTAAGGTAGTATCCTAAGCTTCCTCCATAGGCAATAGCAAAATGATAGCCACCATCAAACAGTGATTTATCCCATCTATTTCAGAAACCTATTCTAGGATGAGATGAAACTCTCTCTGGGGTTGTTATACCTTTCTTAATATTCACTTCTAAATCTCCCCATGGAAATTGCATGAACTGAATATCTTGAAGACAGGACTGCCTGAAATTTTGATTTTCCATCTTATCGGTGATGTCAATCACACATGAGTCCATCTCACATGAAAAACATCCAAATACATCCCCCCTCTGCATGCATGTAGGTTAGTAGACTGTGGTGTACTCAGACTGGCCATTTCTAAAAATAGGTAGCCTGAGCTAACTAATTTCTCCACTTGAGAGGCTGCTCAATAGTGGTAGCTAATGTTTGGTTGTATTAGGGGGAAATAGTCTCACAATTAAATAGTTAAATGGTTTTCATTAGTTATTTAAGTCTTCAAAGCCCATTAAAAAGTGATACTTTTCAGCTTATGCAGCAGACCCATTGTTTTATTAGCATTAATTATTCACTGGGCCTTTGGCATAATTAAAATGCATAAATTAGAATGTGGATGCAATAGCATTAATTATGCAGAGATGCCTTCCCTGGAAGTCAAGTGTTGGGGGCAACGTAATTTTATTCTAGACTGGTAAAAATGTAAGTTTTGAACTCATTGGCAATCAGCCAAAGCATAATTGTTTGTTTTTTTTCTGGTTCTGAACTGTCAATTAAATGTTTACAGCCTGCTCCATCTTCGCCTCTGTGGAAGGAGAAGCCTAATTGTTTGGGGTGAACACGCTGCATTACTCGCTGTGAAGCACAACTGAAACTGCTCTTCGTGAGCATTCCAAACTGCCAACTTTATCTTTCTCAGCAGAAATTAATACAGTTCCCTTAGCATAAAGATGTTTTAAAATAGCAACAAGGCAGCTCCCAGGTGCATCCTAAGATAATCACAACTACCTCCATTGCCTTATTGCTTAATTATGCTTGTCTACCATGGCAAAAGATATAATTTCCTGCTCGCTTATCGATCAGATGCAGGGAAATTGAATGCTACATCACATACTTTAGAAAGGTCATGGATTTTTCTTTCTCTGCAAAGGCATTCGAACTTCTGCCTCTACAGTAAACTGTGCATAGTCAAATGAATGTTCACATCCAGACTACTAATATCATCTTCCTTGGAGTACAGGCACCAGTGGTCAATTTTTGTATAATCAATGAGATCATGTGAAAGAAAATACAGGTGATCATAAAAGCCTGACTGCTTTTCAGCCCTCTCTTACCTTATTGAGGTAAAACAAGTATTTTGAACTGGGAGCCACAAAAGATTATGAGTATGTCTGTCACAGTTTCATGGACTTTATTTGGGTCATATGCCCCTTGTAGCCTGGACAGGGTATAGTTATAAGACAATGTAAGTTAGCAGAGCTGTGCTTGAGGCATGGATAGGTAACAGCAAGTGCAAGTCGATGTCAGTGATAGGACAGGCATTGTGGGTAAAAGCTCCTAGAACAAGCTCCACGGGGTTAACTACCTTCTGTGTTGCTGGACGCAGACAGTATTCCGTGTGAGAATAAATAAGTATGGAATATACCTGGTGCCTTTTTTTCCTAGAAACCTGCGAAATGGTTCCACATTATAGATCATAATTGCATTCACATCAGTTTGGCCCACAGAGGCACATAACAGTGATAAACGTTTACATATTGGATTCATTTAAAATGAATACTTCTATTGCGCATTAGACTGGAAGTGCTTTCACTTAGCAGTTACTTTTGCAGTCCGCTTCTTATTGCGAGAATGCAATTAATGGTATCTGACATTTCATTTTCTAATATAGGCAAAATCAATGAAAAATCCCATGTAACTGAGTTTTCTCGAATGTTGCCAGTGACACCTAGTCAATTAGAAATCATTTATTATATCCAGAGTCTGTAAGAGATATTTAATAGACTGCATAGCCACTAAAGTATGCTGACCTAGACAAAACAATACTACACTGCTTGCCTCAGGAATTGATAGTAAATATATCTGCTCTGTTTCACATGGACCAAGGTGAAAAGTAGGTCAGCTGATACAGTCAAACTTTCAGAAGCAGTTTTGTATAAACCCACGCATTACTACAAATATAGTGGAATAAATGCATAGTGCTTGTAAATAGAACATGGGGAAAAATATAACATTATTAGCCCATTTTCCATCACCTATTTCTAAATTGGAATGCAAAACTTGCAACAGAACCGCTAACTGTTACATAAATGCAGAAAACTCAGTAAGTGATGGACTGTCGCCTCTTTGGGGACATAAGCAGAATTGTTTCCTATCTTAAATATAAGCCTGTGAACCAGATTAGATATGAGTGCCAGCGCTAAATACTATTGAAACTACTGAAGTGCCTCTTTTTTCAAGGATTCTCAGACTAGAGGATAAAGAAGAAGTAGGACAAGTATATAAAATGCATACATATATTAATAAGCTGCAGAATTGTATTCTACATCTAAGAATTTTAGGTATATTTTCATTAGTGACTTAGAAAATGAAACGAACTATAAGTACATATGAAATCTATGAATGACATTAATTAAAGGTACAGGAGGTACAAACACTTTAGAAGGCAGGACTGAGATTCAAAATGACTGTAATAATTTTGAGATATGGTCTGAAATCAGCAGGATAAAATTCGATAAGGATGTATGTCAAGTGCTACGTTTCGGAAGGGGAAATCATGCTCAGAGATACTATGTCGTGAATAGCTGAGTATATAGTAATGCATGGAAAAAGGTCCAGGAGGTTAGAATGGAAAAGAAATTACATGAAAGTCAACAATGAAAGTCAAGGCAAATCACAATCTGGCATGTTAATAATAGTGTTATATATAAGATGCTGAGGGTAATGATTCCGCTTGATTCAGTATCGGTGAAACATCAGCTGTAAAATACTACCGGGTACATCTACACCATCAAATCACTTGGCTCCTGGAGCCTGGTCCTCCATCATCCCCACTCTGTGTATGATAGTTCATTCCCTGGCTTTCATTTTGGAGTAAACTTGCTAGTTCCCTTGGAGATAAGGCTGAGTGCAGTTCTGGGATAACATTCAGTTCAGAGACCATTCTCTACAGGCAGCAAGGATGAGATTTCACCAGGCTCTCCCTGCCCTATGTAGCCCTCCAAGAGCTATCAAGCATGCCCTCAGGCATCCCCATCTCATAAAATAAGCCTATTCCCCATTTCCATGCCTTCCCCAAGGC